CACTTTTGCCGCCTTCCTCCAGTCTCCTCCTTTACCTTCCTTTCTTCCCTCCTTCCCCTTCTTCCTTCTTTCCATTCAGTCTTTTCACTAATTTCCTCCCCTTCTTTCTTTCTTCTTTTCCATTCGGTTTTTTCATTCATTTCTTCCCTCCCTCCTTTTCCATTCAATCTTTTCCTTCCTTCCTTCCTTCCTTCCTTCCTTCCTTCCTTCCTTCCTTCCTTCCTTCCTTCCTTCCTTCCTTCCTTCCTTCCTCTATCTTATCATTCACTCATTTATTGTCTTCCTTACTTCCTACTTCCTCCCTCTTTTTACTTCTTGCTTTTTCATTTTTCCATTTTCTGCCTCTTTCCCGCCCCCACCCCATCTTCTAATGATTTTCTCCTTTTCCTCCAAAGCTGCTACCGGTTTCCTCCTCTCTTTGCCTGTTTCTCCTCTCCCTGGCTGCTGCCCTTGATTTCCCAGCCCCCGTTGCCTGGTTCCCTCATTTCCCCTGCCTCCTGCCTCTTTTCTGTTCTTCTTTCACCCCTTCTTGGCTCTGCCCTGCATTCCTTCATTGTGGCTGGTGGGAATCACTTCAGGGTATGCTTTCCTGCAGGGAAGAGAGAAACCACTGGGGTCTTCCTCCTAACAGGCAGGTAGGTATGTGGAGGAACAAGGCGAAAGAGATCTTTTGCCTGAGCACATCTTCCCTTCTTCCCACCTTTCCTTCCATTCCCTGCTTCACTCAGCCCTCCAGGCATCAAACTTTCTGCTCCTCTCATTTGTCTCCATTTTCTGTCCTTCTCTCTTTCTTTGGCTTCCCCTCTCCTCTTCCTCTTTTCCTTTTTCCTTTTTCCATCTCTTTAGAATATGCTGCTCAGCCTGCACTGCCCTTCCACTGCCTTTGTCCATTTCCCCATTCATCTCTCAGCTTCCCTGTCCCCTCCCTCCCTCCTCTTTCCTCCCTCCCCCTCCAACGTTTTCCCCTTGTGGAGCCACTTTTCAGGGCTCCTTTTCTGCTCCTTCTTCAGTTCTTCTCCCCCTCCCAAGAGTTGCCAATTTTTTCTATGCCCTTTCCCTGCATTGCTCTCTTGTTGGCTCTGGAATAACACTGCCCTGGCTCACACTCTTTGCTGATTGTGCGGCTCTTGGCGCTGCCTTAAGGAAATGCTCTGGTTTGCTTCTGTGCAGCCATACACAGCAGAGCTGCTACTCTACCTCTGCCCAAGTTCTAGGTCCCTCTGTGACCCACCCACCCCCCATTCCCACTGCCTTGTTTCTCCTGTGCTTGACCAGATTTCCCTTGAAGCTTCTAGCATGGAGGTTTCCAGATAATCCTCACTGGCTGGGTGCACCCAACATGCCTAAGCAGCTAAAGACTGCACTATGTACTAAGCCTAATTCAAGACATCTTTCTTGGGTTTTTTAATGTGTTATGAAAACTCAGCTTGTTTAGTTAGTTTATGTTAGTTAGTATGATCTGGTGAATTGTGCAAATCCGGAAAATGGATTAATTCAGTAACCAAGTTGTGGGTTGTATGAACCCAGCCACCAACTACATGTTATAGTCCTTTCAGTCCTCCTTCAGTGGCCTTTCTGCAATTGTTCTTTTGTCTTGATAGTTTTTTCTACCTGTACTTTCCCAACACAAGTCTTACAGCTCTCTTCTCTTATTGTTGAATCCTGGCTCATTCTGTTCCTCACGATGGGTCAAACTGCCACCCTAATTCTTCTTGGATCCTCATTTTATCCAGGACTCATATATCCTTGCCCTTGACCCCTTCCTTTGACCTCTCTCATGACCTCTGCTTCTATTTCAAATCCCGCTGCCTCAGAGATCCTCAACCTCTGATCTTTAGCTCTTCTCTCCTTCCCTTTCCTGTATATATTGGTTTGGGCTATTTTTTTCAAAGATTCCCTTCTATATCTACCTCAACAACCTTCAAGTCACAGCCCTGCAAGCTTCCCTGTGCAGCCATCCTTGCATTCCAACACATCTCAGAATTGCCAGGGTGGGAAAAACATTTTCTCCCTACTTTTCTTCCTTTATGTGTTTGTGTATTTTTGTGTGTGAAGTCCCTCAGGACCAGAAGAGTGTTGGCCTGGTTAGGAATGAGGATTTAGTTATACTTACTGGATTAAAATAGTCAGGATAACAAGATGGGGTGAAAAGGGAGGTGGAACATCAGAAAGTTTGTATGAATGTATAAGGGAGATTTATCACTTTGAATGCAAGCTATATTCTTGGACAATTTCTCTTGGCCTAAATTGGCTTGTGTTTCCCCCAGCTTTATATAACCTTTCCTTTTATTTTATATCATTCTCTCCTGAGTCTAAAGTACTGTATTTTCCGGCATATAAGATGACTTTCTAAACCCTGAAAATCTTCTCAAAAGTCGGGGGTCGTCTTATACGCCCAGTCGTCTTATACGCCGGAAAATATGGCCGAGCCGGTCACATGTTTCCCCAGGCCAGGCTGGGCCGGGCGGCAGTCATGGCTGGTGTGGCGGCCGGCGGGAGCATCGCACCCCGGGAAGCCGAGCCGGCCATATGTCTCCCCAGGCCGGGCCGGGCGGCAGTCATGGCTGGGCTGGCGGCCAGCGGGGGCATTGCACCTCGGGAAGCCGAGCTGGCCACATGTCTCCCCGGGCTGGGCGGCAGTCAGGCATGAAGCTCACCTGGCTGCCGCAGGGCTCTCCGCCGCCCGGCCCCATCGGTGGCGCCTTCCTCGGCCACTTTCGGGGAGCTGCCGCCGCCCTCGGTGCTGCAGGAGAAGGAGACCTTGGGCGGTGGGGCTGGCGGCGATCAGGACCCCCTGTCCCCGCGGCGGCACTCCCCGTTGCAGCCGCGGCCGCCCATGGTGCACCCGGCCTTGGCGCCCTCCTCTTGCGATGGAGAAGTGGCTGAGGATGCGGCGGGAGCGGCGGCCGTGTCAGGGGTGGCGGCGGTGACACCAACGATGCTGCAGTGTCCGCTGCCGGAGCCGCTGCCTCCCATCCGCTGCCGGAGCCGCTGCCTCCCCGCCCGTTCGGCTGAGGATGCAATGGGGGCGGCGGCCGGGAGCTGTTGCCTCCCGTCCTGCTCCCCCTCCCTGCCCGTTCAGCGCCGTCTGCCTTTCATTCTCTCTCTCTCTCTCCTAACCTGGAGGGAGAGGGAGAGAGAGAAAGAGAGAAAGAGGAAAGAAAGAGAAGAGAGAGAGGAAAGAGAAAGAGAAGAGAGAGAGAGAAAGAGGAAAGAGAAAGAGGAAAGAGAAAGAGGAAAGAGAAAGAGGAAAGAAAGCAAAGAGAAAGAGAGAGGAAAGAGGGAAAGAGAAAGAGGAAAGAGAAAGAGAGGAAAGAGAGAGAAAGTTAGAGGAAAGAGAAAGGAAGAGAAAGAGAAAGAGACAGAGAAAGAGAGAGGAAAGAGAGAGAGAAAGTTAGAGGAAAGAGAAAGAGAAGAGAGAGGAAAGAGAGAAAGAGGAAAGAGAAAGAGAGAAAGAGAGAGAAAGAGAAGAGAGAGGAAAGAGGAAAGAGAGGAAAGAGAAAGAGATAAAGAGGGAGAGGAAAGAGAGGGGGAGAGGAAAGAGAAAAAGAGAGGAAAGGGAGAGAAGGAGAGGAAAGAGAGAGAGAAAGAGAGGAAAGAGAGAGAAAGAGAAGAGAGGAAAGAGAGGAAAGAGAAAGAGATAAAGAGGGAGAGGAAAGAGAGAGGGGGAGAGGAAAGAGAAAAAGAGAGGAAAGGGAGAGAAGGAGAGGAAAGGGAGAGAAAGAGAGGAAAGAGAGAAAGAAAGAGGGGGAGAGGAAAGAGAGAAAATGAGGAAAGAGAAAAAAGATTGAGAAAAGAGGAAAGAAAGGAAAGAGAAGAGAAAGAGGAAAGAGAGGAAAGAGAAAGAGGAAAGAGAGAGACAGAGAAAGAGAGAGGAGAGAGAGAGAGAAAGTTAGAGGAAAGAGAGAAAGAGGAAAGAGAAAGAAAGAGAGAGAGGAAAGAAAGGAAAGAGAGAGAGAGGAAAGAGAGACAGAGAGAGAGAGATACCCTTTTGACATCTAAAATGAAGATAACACTGCATATATCCTTTTTTACCTTTATTTTATATATACACACACAAACATACACACAGACACACACACATATCATAAAGGTAAAAAAGGATATATGCAGTCTTATCTT